ACAAAAACAAACAGAAATTTAAGACACAGAAGAGACGAAATGATATTCAGTATTTTAATGAAAGTTGACTTCCTTAATCATAAAAGCAAGGGAATAATTTCAAAATAGTGATATATCAGTATCTCAGTGAGTCATTTTTAATAACATGAAGCAAACTGAATGTAGATAAATACAATCCTTGTAAAGATTTAAATGCTTTATGTTTTCAGCTGATTTAAAATGGTTTCTTTTTGAATTACTACAATTATTCTTTCTTTTCTTGCTGCTCCACTCAAAACTGTTTTTTTTCTTTTTTTTTTGAGACGGAGTCTCGCACCGTCGCCCAGGCTGGAGTGCAGTTGTGGGATCTTGGCTCACTGCAAGCTCCGCCTCCCAGGTTCACGCCATTCTTCTGCCTCAACCTCTCCAGCAGCTGGGACTACAGGTGTCCGCCACCACGCCTGGCTACTTTTTTTATTTTTAGTAGAGACGGGGTTTCACCATGTTAGCTAGGATGGTCTCGATCTCCCGACCTCGTGATCCACCCACTTGGCCTCCCAAAGTGCTGGGATTACAGGCGTGAGCCACCGCGCCCGGCCTGGACTCAAAACTTTCTTAGTCCTCTTTATGAGTTTCTCTGTTATCCCAAACTAGTAGTAACAAACCAAATGCCTACAGAGACCAGTGAGGCTGGGAAAATGACCAAAAAGAGCTCACTGTAAGACAAGAGAGCATGGTAGTCATTGTAGAGAATGGGTATTCAGATACAGTAAACACACACAGACACACACACACACTCTCTTACCTGTGAGCTGACTGCTGACCTATTTTGTAATCCCTGAGCTAATTCAGGGACAAAACTAGTTGATCTTGTACTCGAATTCCCTCAAATCTGCATCATCAGTGCTACCACCTCTGAGACACTGTCATCTCCACTTCTTCCAAAGTCCATTTTTATCCCTTCATGATTCTTAATGTTGTATGACTACTTACTTTTTCCCTCGTGAATCAAGATCTGGCACCAAGGGCCATGTTTACAGTTCTTTTTCAGACTGGTTTATCTATGTTAGTTCTATGTGACGGACACAAATAGGCTCATGGCTACTCAGTCTCCACTATGCATTACACCTTTATCAACATAAATTACCCTCCTTGACCTTAAAGGCTTTTGCCTCGAATTCTGTTTTGTCTTATACAAATACAGCTGGCTTACATTTTAAAACTTATTTTTGTCTATTATTGCTACATTATCCTTTTACTTTAAACTAGTATTATTTTGCTTAACTTTGTCTCTTTTAAATATTAAATAGTTTGACTTTTTTTCTATCTAGTATGATGGATTTTGTGTTTCATTAATGAACTAAAGCTGTTGATAATTGTAATGTATTTTTTTAGTATTTGTCATTCTAAAGTTCTAGTTTTTCTTTTTGTTTTGATCACATTTTTTTGTTCCTACATTTTCTATGAACGAAAAATAAAATAAAAAGAAGTCTTACAATAAGCTGATATTTCCACCTCCTTTATTTCTATCTGCTTAAAGTTGCTTATGCTTTTTCTTTGCCTTTTGAAATAAAAAAAAAAACAACAGCAAAACACAAAAAAACTTTAACAAAGTGTGGCTAGGTCTTAGTTTCTCTTCGCTAATTTTTCATGGTGTTCTGAGGCCAAGTGACGTAAAATGAATTCTTGTTCTACATTACTTTTTATCTGCTAGTCTGGGCTCCTCATAATTCAATCTTCTGTAACTCTTCCCTATGTTTAAAAATTTTTTATATATTCACTTTAAAAACAGGTTTATTGAAATATAGTTCACATACCATAAAATTTACCCTTTTAAAGTGTATAATCTAGTGGTTTTTAATAGGTTCATCAAGCTGTACAGCCATCACATGATCTAATTTTAGACCATTTTGTCACCCCAGAAACCCCTCAACTATCTGCAGTCACTTCCTGTTCCCCTTTGTCCCTTACTAGTAATCTACTTTGTGTCTTCATGGATTTGCCTATTCTAGATGATCTTTCATATAAAATGTGGCCTCTGTGGTGTTTTTGCTTAGCATGCTTTCAAGGGTCATTCATGTTGTAGTATCAGTACCTCACTCCTTTTAATGGTCAAATACTATTCCACTGTATGGCTATACAACATTATGTTCATCCATTCATCAACTATGAACACTGGGTTGTTTCCACTTTTATGAATAATGCTGGTATAAACACCTGTAGATGTTTTTGTGTAGATAAAATATTTTTTTAACTCTTTTCGGCATACACTTACAGTGGAATTCCTGGGTGATAGGCTAACCCTGTGGCTAATATTTTGAAGAATGGCCAAACTGTTTTCCAAAGTGGCAGCATCATTTTACAATCGCACCAAAACCTTATGAGGGTTCAAATATCCCCACGTCCTTACCACTACTTTGTAGTGTTACAGGTGTCTGTCTCTTTGACTGTAGCCATCCTAGTTTGTGTGAAGTAGTATTTCAATGTGGTTCTGATTTGCATTTCCCTAGTATCTAATAATGCTTTGTATTTTTTTTTCATGTGCTTACTGGATTTTTATATCTTCTTTGGAGGAAGAAATGTCTACTCATATCCTTTGCCTACTTTTAATTGGGGTTGTCTTTTTATTGTTGAATTATAAGTTATTTATGAGCTTTGCATATAAGGTTCTTCTCAAATATCTGATTTGCAAATATTTTCTCCCATTACATAGCTTCTGTTTTCAATTCTTGTGTCCTTTGAAACACAAAAGTTTTAAGTTTGAGGAAGTCCAATTTGTTTTTATTATGTCTCTTGTGCTTTTGGTGCCATATCTAAGAAACTACTGTGTCATTTATGGTAATAATTTACTCCTATGTTTAAAGAGTTTTATAGTTACAGCTCTTACATTTAGGCCTGTAATCTATTTTAAGTAACATTTCTGTCTATGGTTTGAGGTAGAGTCCAATTTTATTTTTTTCCATGTGGATATACAATTGTCTCAGTATCATGTGTTCAGGAGTATCCTTCCCCATTAAATTGTCTCAGCACTCTGTTGAAAATCAATTGACTGAAAGTAAAGAATTATTTTTTGACTCTGAATTCTGTTCTACTGCCACATATATGTCTGGGTTCCTTGCATTTCCATGTTGAGTCCTAAGATCAACTTGTCAATTGCTGCAAAAAAGGTGGCTGACATTTTCATTAATTAAATCTGCATATTTGGAGAATACTGCCATCTCAATAATATTAAGTCTTTCAACTCATGAACATGAGATACTTTTCAATTTATTTAGGTCTTCTTTAATTTCTTTCAGTGATGTTTTGTACATCATTTGGTGTTTTTGTTGTAAAATTCTTGCACTTTTCTTAAACTTATTCCTTAGTATTTTATTTCTTTTTTATGCTGTTTTAAGTGAATCTTAAAATTTTGATTTTGGATGTTCGCAGTTAGTGTATAAAAATACAATTAATTTCTTTATATCAATCTTGTATCCTGCAACCTTGCTGAACTGTTTATTAGTTCTAATAGTTTTTCATGTGGATTTCTTAAGATTTTCTATATACAAGACTATTTCATATGTGAAAAGAAACTTATTTCTTCCTTTCCAATATGGGAGCTTTTTATTTCTTTTTCTTGCCTAATTGCTCTGGCTAGAACCTCCAGTACAGTGTTGAATAAGTGTGAGAGCTGACATCCTTCACTTATTCCTGATCTTAAAGGAAAATATTCAGACTTTCACTATTAAATATGTTAGCTATGTTTTTCTTTTTTTAAAATTATGTTTTTTTGTAGACGTACTTACCCCATTGAAGAAATTCTTTTATTCCTAGTTTGTAAAATGTTTTTATCATGAAAGTGTGTTGTTTTTTGTCAAATATTTTTCTTCTTCAGTTGAGATAATTACAAGTCTTTTATTTCATTAATATAGTGTATTACGCTAATTGATTTTCATGTTAAACCAACTTTTATTCTTAGAATAAATCCTACTGGATCGTGGTATTTAATGCTTTTGTTGCCAGACTGGGTTGCTAGTATTTTGTTGAGCATTTTTGAGTCTATATTTGAATTTTCCATTTTTTAAGTTGGTCTCAGTAGTTCGTGTCTTTCTAGCAATTTGTTCATTTCATCTAGGTTATCTAATCTTTTGCCATATAATTGTTCATAGTGTTCCCCAATAATACTTTTATTTCTGTAAGATTGGTAGTGATGGCTCCTCTTTATTATATTCACCTTTAAATATTACTTTCGTCTAAATTCTGAGAAAGTATCTTAACTTATAAAAAACTGACTGGTTTGGCATCCTTCAATACTCAATAAGCTATTCAGTCTTAATTAACTATATTTTAAAGTATAGCATTACTTTTTCTATACACTTAGGTTGTTTGGCTTTTACATTAATCTTACTGTCCTAGTACAATATTCTGTGCAACTCTTCTAAGTTTCTCACAATTAGACGATACCCTTCTTGGTGTCCTGAACATTATTTTAGGGGTTGAAGGGGAGTTAAAATGAGAGCTTCAAATCCTTATTTGAGTAAAAAAAGTTATAGTTAACTTACAACATAAATTATAATAAAATAAAACCTAACATTTGAAAAAATAACATTTAATGAGCATTTCCTACATGCCACGTACTGTGCAATGCACTCTATGTAAAATCTCATTATATCAACATAAACAACCTTTGAGTAAAGTTATATATCACAAAACTAAGGTTTAGACAGATTAAGTAACATACTGAATATCATATAGCTAATGACTATGGAACAAAAATTTGAACCCAGTTTTTTCTGACTGTAGAGCTGACATTCTTAACCAGTGGTTGACAAACTTTTTTAAAAGGGCCAGATAGGAAATATTTTAGTCTTGTGGGTCACGTCTTCATTGCAATGACTCAACTCTGCTGTTGTACCAAGAAAGTAGCCTTAACAAGATGTAAATGAATGGGCATGGCTGTGTTCCAATAAAACTTTATTTGTAAAACAAGGTACTGTGATTGCAGGCCCTAGCTTGCCATCCCCTGCAATTAAGCAACATACCAGCTGCCCTAATTCTTCCTCAAAGCCTTTCCTGATTACCACATAGATCAATTTCTTCTCCTTCTGGCTTTCTACCATAGTAACTGTTGTAATATCATATCCTTAAGTCATATATCCTTGTTGTAATGTAAATGTGTCTTCCAATGCCTTCTTTTAGTAACTACATTGACAAAAGATTATGCCAAACAGTAATTTGTTTTATCCCCCTATAGCATCCAAACTAACACTAGAGATTGTCTGTAGAAAAGTAGAAATTTACACGTGACTGTAATCTGGAAAGTTTTATCCCAATAAAGCCATTCACCTAGGGTAACATGATAGAAATGTAAAAATCAGGCAGTAAAAATGTTGATACAGAAATGTAAAGACAACTACAATTTTGCCAAGGTTCTACAGTCAATATGAGAGTAGATTATGAGAGTTTTATAGGCAGAGAAAAAAATTAATGTACTTATTTACATTTTCTCAATTTCAATTTTCTTCTTACACTTTCCTACCTCAAGGAATCATAATTCTCCAAAACCGTGAGTATCAAAGTGTCACTGTATGAAAGAGACATAATTTAGGAAATAATCACTCCATAGATGTTCATATTTTTCACATCTTTGAAATGGATAATAACATCATTTTCTAGGGTAACAAAATTTTAGAGTAGGCTCTCCTCTAGGGAATAATGACTTATTTTGCTTTTTCAGGCAGCTAAGAAAATCTTCATAAAAGAAATCCTAATACTCAATTTTTCTTTTATTTGCATTATACCTATATCTTTTAATGCAGTCTATATGGAGAGATTGCTGAATACTTTTAGATTTAAAGCAGATTTATTATAGAACTATCAAGTTTTACAAAAAGTGTTTGTAATGCAAAGTATAGGAAAAATATTAGATGCAATAGTAGCTAGATGTCCTTTTAACTGGAGAGACCATCAGTTTCTGAGGAATGCCTTTGCTCAGGGACTTAAAATTTGGAAATCACTGAAGTGAACACTTGGTGTGGGAAGGTGAGAGTTGCTAAACTACTACACACACACACACACACATACACACACACAAAATTGATAAGAATGAGAAGAAATAAAATTTAAAATAAACATGGTTTTAGTCATCAGACTATGGCTGAAACTACTGACAGTTACCCAAAAGTTATTCTCAAACCTTTGTTCCCCTGCTCCATCTCCCACAGAAGCCAGAAGTCTTTGATATCTCAACTTCCATTAAAGCTAGGACAGCCATATGACATGAGACAGTTAGTGCACAGTGGACATTTGCTGGGGATCTTTGGGAAAGCTTTTATTTCCTGATTAAAAGAGAAAGACTCAACAGGAACAACTGTTCCTCATCCTTCCTTCTTTGAGAGAGTGTGATATCTGGATCAATAGAGGCATCTGTCTTACAGCAAGCACAAGAGAAATCACAAAGACAAAACCCTGACAACATCGAGCCTGTAAACAAAAAGCAAACAACGACTCTCCTCAGACTTCTTGTTCTGGAAAAATAAATCCCTATTGTTTTATCTCATTGCGCATAAAACTTGCAGCTGAACGCGTTTCTAGTTGATCGGTACTTTACAATTATTTTTTAAATTGTCAATCACTTTTGGGGCACGCAATGTGAGGAAAAATTTGCTTTTAAGATAATCCTGGATAAGATTTCTTTCTCTCCCTTTCAAAATGTTCAATTTTATATTACTAATTATTAATTAAATCTGCTATTATATTAACAAATAGCTATTATTTACACCTTTAAAGTTATTAGCATTTTTCATTTTTATTCCTTATTTATTTATTAAATTTTAAGACTTTTTCTTCTTATCTAGATAACTAGTTATTTGCATTTTTAAAAGAATATTTCAGAAACTTTGAAATACAAAAACTTTGTTGCCTTAGATTTAGTTAATATACCTTGTGCTCAAAATCTCATAATTTTTTAAAAAGTTTCCTAATTTACCAAAGCCAAAAATTATTCTATTTTTATATAGCTATGACATTATTGGTATTATATAATTTCATCTGGTATTGTATGTCAAAGGACATAAGATGTAAGATACTATTTAACCTGCCACAGACATCGAATAAGGGATTTAACATCTGTAAGCAATTTAGGAGACTAGGTACAGGTTTCTTAACTGGAAGGATGAATATATCTCAAAAACACTAATTGCTTCAATGATTCTAAATTGCTTCGTGAAGTACACAACAATTAAATGCTCCAATAACTGATTTAATTAAAGTAAAGGCAAAAATTATACATCACAATATGGTATCTTTAGCATACTACTAACAGGTATAAAAACAATAAAATTAGCTCTTCAAGTTAGATCTCGTTAAATGACCTCAAAGCAACAACATTTAGTTTATCAAGAAAATGACAGAAGCAATCCAATGTGGGTAAAATATCAGAAATGTTTCAGTGGCCTCTTGGGGGTCTGTTCAAGAAAAGCAAAGATGCTAGGAGTGGACTACAAGTTGATAGGTACTCACTGAATTGCCTGGCTGTGCTATAGAAAGCACTGTGACATTTGAGCTACTCTTACTGGGAACGCTGGTGTGAGATACACCTGGGAAAAACAATATAGTTTGACAAAATAAGGTTATTAAATGAAAAACATTTCATCTGTTTTCCTTCCCACATTAAGTAAGAGCTGCGAGGAGCTCCGAAGTCTCCCTTCCTAGGCAGAATCAGAAGGGGGCCTCCAAGCAGTGGCTGAAACTGAAGGCACCCTGTAAGTTTTCGCCACCAAGCTATATACAGAAGGCCGACACTGAGCACTGACAATGCCACGTCTCAAAACTCATTCGTTTCCAATGATGGCTCAGATATGACAAATACCTATATAATTCAGGTACAATATAAGCTTTACTAAGGCCTCCCAATGCAACCTTTTCACTGAAAATAGAACATTTATGACCAGTTAAACTTTAGTTAAGATGAGGCCTCATACTACATTCATCTATTTATTTTTCTCTATTTGTTAAGAAAAAAAGTAATGGAAATCATGTGTAGTGGAGGGGAGGTATTACATAAAATACCTTTATGTAAGGAAAAGCACATCTTTAAATCAGCAGAGTTCTAGAGGCAAGGAGAGAAAAGGACCACACAAACCCCAAACAGCATCTAATGAATAAATTGATGTCTGAAGCATGCGCCCATGCGTGCAAACACACACACACACAAGGTTGCAGTTAATAACAAAATTTGTTCTACTCATTTAGAAATCCAACAAAAGATAGCAATATTTATATTTAGCTGTAATATAAGCAACCATGGTTGGCAGAGGGCTGAATTTAGGACTAACACAGACATCTAAGAAAAATTTATTTTACTAGTTGTATTTGTTTGCAAAATGATGTTTCATTATAGATTGCCAAATAGTTATCCAAATTGTTACTACTTACCAAGTATGAACTATGTAAAAGAATTCTCAAAATGAATACAAAGGTCAATGAAACTCGGTGTTAGCGCTAAAGATACTAAGTATCTGGTGAGAAAGATGGTATGAACTAAGTTTACTCTACACAAGGCACAGTGCTAATCATTAAGAATAATATCAGCAGGGTATGGTGGTTCACACCTGTAATCCCAATTCTTTGGGAGACCAAGGTAAGAGAATTGTTTGAGGTCAGGAGTTTGAGACCAACCTGGGCAACACAGTGAGACCCTCATCTCTATAAAAAGTTAAAATTAGCTGAGCATGGTAGTTCTTGCCTATAGTTCTAGCTACTGGAGAGTCTGAGGTGTGAGGAGAGCTTGAGCCCAGGAGTTCAAGGTTACAGTGAACTAAGACCAGGACACTGCATTCCAGCCTGGGCGACAGAGTCAGACCGTGTCTCAAAAAAAAAAAAAAAAAAAAAGGCAAAAAAAAAAAAAAAAAAAAAGGCAGGTTAATTATCAGTTCCAAGCAAGCCAATTTATATCCATCAACATGAAGGTAAAAGTAAACAGAAGGTAGTTAAATATTTGCTATA